GCAAACAACGTGAGTGTTTGCTGGGACTCGCTGTCATCTGCCTCTAGTTCCTTCTTGCATATATACAAATATATATATATATATAAATATTTTTTTTTCCATCTATTCTTATTGTACATTTCTCTGTTTTAATTTTGAATCTCCCGTGTAAGCCTGAAGAGCGGGAGCGAAACCGGTTGCTTCCCCCGCCTTGTTGTTAAGTTTTTTTTTTTTTATTATTTAATATTGTTTTAATATGTCTTGTAATATTAAATTTTACACTTTTATTTCGATCATATATATATATATATATATATATATATATATATATATATATATATATATATACACCTCTATATACGTCGTAATCTTCATTTCCTACCTCCTCCTTTTAATGTTCATATCACAAACCTCATCCATTAACACTCTGCTTTGAGTGGCTTTTGGGCCTTTTATTCGGTGACATTAAGTAAAGATGTATGTTGTAAGATAAAAGGGTCAAAGATAAAGCACTGTAGTTGTATTCTAACTCTGCCGAATTTTGATTTCCTATTATCTGTCATATGCATTTCTTGTAAGTCTTGGAGTAAAATGTGTATGTGGGTGGTTTTTATGTCTGTGTGCTTGTGTGTGCGTGCATGCATGTGTGTGTGTGTGAGTGTGTGTGTATTTATCCGTCAATAAATTCAAGAAAGAGGCAACAGGCATTGGCCTTTCATTATTTGTAAATCAATATGTTATTTATGTAAAAATTGATTGATGTTAATACTTTTATGAGCGGATCTGTTAACATCCTGACACAACCAAGGGCACGAGGAATTTGTGAAAAAGGGGAAGAGAAAGAGAGATGAACTGGTGTGTGTGTGTGTGTGTGTGTGTTTGTGAGAGAGGGAGAGAGGGAGAGAGAGAGAGAGAGAGAAAACCGGGAGAGCGAGAGAGAGCGAGTTAGAGAAGCTCTTGAAATAAATCATATCTCATCATTCAATCAGCTGCTTGTCCGTGCGTCGAGATGGTATCGTGTCCAACTCTAGCCTGATTATGTGAAGATCCTCCTGAAAATGTGTTCTCAAAATGCGTATAATAATAATAATAAATATACACTAAATTTGTATATATATATATATATATATATATATATATATATATATATATATATAATATTATAATCTAAAGAAAGATCAGTAACATATATAATCCGGTGTTCTTATTGATATTTTTATTTTTACAAAACAGTGCTCAATGTAAATTTACAGATTTTCAGAGCATAGATATTATAAATTAACTGATTTAAAAATATGCTTTCTTCGTTACACGGGAATTACCATGTTTCAAAACCGAAGCTATAAATTTCAAATTTAATTATATAATTAAATTAAAAGCATTACTTCTGTTTCATCTTCAAGCGAATTTTGGAATAACTTATTTTTAAATTTACGCATATACAATTCAGAATTTATTTTTTCAAGTATATATATATATATATATATATATATATATATATATATATATATATTACCTGGTTTTTCTGTGTATTTATTTTTCAGCAGCTGTTTTTTAAATATCAAATTTTAATCTCTACTTCCGAAACTGCATACAGTCCACCATCTGAGTTGAATAAAGTTAAAGCTTTCGACCTTAGTTCATATAATCTATACTCATGAGGTCATTTTGGATTTCTCTGTTATGTAATTTATATGCTCCGTTATAATAAATGCATTGAGCTTTTTGGTTGGTCAGTTTTAATATTTTATATAATAAGGATTCACTTGGATTATATACCAACGGATTTAATACCTGTACTATATATATATATATATCGTACATTCATAACTGCTCTGGCGTATCGAATGTAAACAAATGACGTCATATGTTAAGAAATGGACGAGGTCCGACAATTTATTTATTAAAGACATTTTTATTTATGTTTAACGTTGTTATTTTATAGATACAAGTATTTAAGCAAATGCTCTGTTTATCTGACGGTTGACGTATAGGATGCAGGTTCGAATCCTGTCTATGAACGAATATTTTCTATGAAAATTTCTCGGACATTCAGGCCGGTAAATGTTATTTAATACTGTTTATGATAAACGTCAGCGTATATGACGGTTCCGTATATCGAAACAAAAATAATGTAGATTGCGTCGTAACCACGAATCGAGGTAGGTTGGGATAGTCTTAATCTGGGGTCTTACTGTATATAATTTAAATCCAGTGCATATATATATATATATATATATATATATATATATATATATATATATATAAGTGAACATAGAAGTCAACACTTATAGGCGACAGTCTGTTCCATGTGACCTGACGAATGCTTCTAGCATGAAACAGACTGTCGCCTCTAAGTCTTGACTTCTATTTTCACTTTTATATTTACACACGCTCTATCTCTGATATTGAGCACTTTTTCCCATAAACATAGCACACTTCAAGACAATATTTCTTCATATATATATATATATATATATGAAGAAAGAACAGTAAGATATATAATCCGGAGTTCTTATAGCGATTTTTTTAATTTTTACAAAATAGTGCTCAATGTTAATGTACAGAGCATTAATATTATAAACTAATTGATTTAAAATATGTTTTTTTTTCGCTACATAGTTCTAACCATGTTTCAAAAATTTTTGAAACATGGTTAGAACTGAGTAGAAAAACATATTTAAATCAATTAATTATATTATATATATATATATATATATATATATATATATATATATATATATACTAATTAATGAATATCAAAAGACTTAAAATTGCATAGCTAATACACTTTGTTTTCAAAAAGGTATAAAAATGGGCTTTTAGAGCAACAAACCTAATATAAACGGAAAAAATACTTGGAGATACAGATATCGTCTTGAGGGTAAGAGAGAAAGACAAAGAGAAGGAAAGGTTTAACTTTATGGACATGTAATGGCGGCGGATATGGGGGTGAGGCAGATGATTCAGTATTTATTCGCAGTAGACTTTAAGGTTTGAGGTGAGCAGATTTAATATGACATTACGCTACACACACACACACATATATATATATATATATATATATATATATATATATATATATCAGATCATCCCATAAGTTATGTCCGAATTTTAATTTTCTGTTTAAATGCACGAAATTTAAAAAGTAGTATAGATGCATTTAAACTGATCAAATTCTATTTCAGAGAACAATAAATTGTTTGATTAAAACCCTGCTAACACGAAAGTACTCAAGAATCATTTGAGGTACATACGGCTTTATGAGTTCAAGAATGGAAACTCATCAGCCAAAGTGGCTCAGTTTATGGAGAGGAATATATGAATGAAAGAACTTGCAGAAGATGGTTTGCAAAATTCAGAGCTGGAGATTTCACCCTTGAAGATGAAGATCGAACCGGATGTCCAGTTGTGTTTGATGAAAAGCTTCTTGAAGCAGCCCTTGAAGAAAATACCGCTTTAGGAATTGGCAGTGGTTCTCAGTTCAAACCATACAACTGTTCATCGCCATCTTCAACAACTTAGAAAAGTTCCTAAACTTGGAAAATGGGTGCCCCGAGTTGACATCTACTCTTCTCTCCATTCTCGCCAACTTTTTTTTTAGATAGACTTGTGACTGGCGACGAAAAATGGATCTTTTATCGACTTGTTAAGCGTCGTAGACAGTGGCTTGTTAAAGGGGAAGGACACCAACCGAGAAGGGAACTTCATGGGCAAAAGGTTCTTCTTTCAATCTGGTGGTATCGCCAATGAATAATCCACTTTGAATTCTTACCACCTAATGCAACAATTAATACTCAAATATACTGTCAGCAATTAGAGCGTTTGAATCAAGCTTTGAGGAAAAGAGACATGCTCTAGTGAATCGAAATGAGGTGATGTTTCATCAGGACAATGCATTAGTTATAATTTATTTCACAAGAGAATTTTATTTTTGTTTGGATCTTCAGACATCACTTTCAAAGGTGAAAAGAAAAAAAAATGAATTCAAAATTTGAAGGGCAGAGTTAAGCTTATATGAGGTGACATAGAGGGTGGTGAGGAATAGTGTGAGAGACATGGTCGAGTTTAAAGAGGGAAGGAAAATTTAAAATTTATTTTTATTTTATTACAATACTTAATATTGAGGATGAGAGGGTTGGATCAGACATTAATCTATTTAATCGGTCAACTTAATAGAAATTATCCATATAGATTACCAAGATTTTCATTACTCTTATATATATATATATATATATATATATATATATATATACAGTAATATGAGAACGACTACAGGACAATTTTAACTTATGTAATATTTAATTTAAAAGAAAGCGCAATACAAAGTAGAGCAATATTCTTTATTTTAGGATATTACTTTTAAAAACACCTCAAAATCGCTACACTATTGCAGTCGTGCTTCGATGCGTATAAACGTATCTCATCGATTGACCAGACATGTGAGCATCAACTAAACTTTAGAAAAAATGGAAACAAAAACGACACTTACACTTAGCAACAGAAAGAAACAGTTTAAATATGTGGTGCAAATAATGAGGAATGTAGGCTTGGAAAATGCGATACACACAGGACAGATTCAAAGAGACAAAGAAAAGCAACGTATGACCTGTCTACCGAGCTTGAGAAAGTGGATGTGGGAACAAGTTTTAGCGGAGATAAAATAATGAAATAATCATTGAAAGCTAAAAATGGCAGGAAATTGTGGAGAGCCGTGATCGACAATTCTGAAGGTATCTGTGGAAACTAACGTTATGACGCAACCGTATAGAGCCACTACACAGCAAAAGCCACATACACATTATTATTTGTTTTCTCATCTTCTTTATGATAATTATTGTTAAAGTTGACGCATGCGTAATTGAACTATTAAAAAGTAATGGCTGCCCAGTGACTATCTCAGGCCATTGTTTGATATATTGCAGGAGATTAATTTTTTGCTAATACGTTAATTAATCTTCTTAAAATAACTTTGGCGGCTTGGTTATCTTTCCCGCCATAGAAAGCGACAGATTAAATTGATGACATTTCTTTACGCAAGCGGAAAACCCATTTCGAATTATTCGAATACAGGCGTATCTACGAATGGCTACACTTGTTTGTCTCTTCCTTCATTCTGTCTGTACAAATCTATCAAAACACTCAGGTATATAAAGCCAGGGAGAGGTAGATACATATATGCAAATTTATCTCTGTTATACATAACTGCCATATTATATATATATATATATATATATATATATATATATATATATTAATTTCTAACTATAATGAGTTACGCTATATCATGTTTAAACACCGGTTCTCCTAGGATCACCGGAGTTAAGTAATGTCGAGCCTGGTCAGTAATTAGATAAATGACAGCTTGTCTATACCATGGACTGTAAGCTTGGGTTTGCGGGTGGTGTAATGGATAACATTTCCGCATTGGAAAGACTTATATATATATAATTATTTATTTTAAAAAAATTATAACATAAATATGTTATAAAATAGCCATTTTGTTTCAACATCATCACTTGATAAGACATCGGATATGTTGAAACAAAATGGGTACTTTTGTAGTGATTTTATAACATATTTATGTTATAATTTTTTAAAATAAATAATTATAACTGCTCTACAATGTATTGAGCACCCTTTTAAGAATAGTAATTGTTGGTTATTGGAATTCATTCCGTATACACCAATTATATTCTTGTATATATATATATATATATATATATATATATATATATATATATATAATGCCAATCACATATATTCCTCTATACATACATTCTGCTAATCTATGGTATATATACTGGTTGCAATAGGTAAATTGTCGTCCAAATTACACAAAAATGAAAATAATTCTTACATCTCATTTTAACAGATATGTTTACCAAAATTACACAAAAATATCCTGGATTAGTAAAGAGTCAGTCTGTTCCATAAAATCGCCATTCGCTTCTAGCAAAGCCTACTGTCAAATTCTGAATTTCCTGCACCTCTTACAGATGGTCTTCTTGTTTAAGTTAGTGACTGCTGGCGTAATCCTTGCCTTCAGTTCATCTTTGTTGTTACAAAGAGTTTTGTTGGTCTCCCGCCCAACCACATCTCACACATAATAATCAAGGTGTTTGCAGCCAGGTGAGTTAGGTGATGTGGTCGCAAAAAATGTCTGACAGCTGTGACTGGGTTCTCCTGTTTGTGTGTCATGGTGCTGAGTCCTGTTGCCAGACATAGGGTCTTTCAGCATACATCCTCCTAAATCAGGGCAGAATTACCTCCTCAAGGCACTTGATGTAGGCATCCATGTTGAATCTTAGGCCTTCACCAACAAAATCGGAATTTCTTTTCTAATCAGAACGATCAGAGTGAGTTTTCCAAGCTGCAGTACCTACGTAATTACCTTTAGACTCGTCAAACTCTTTTTGAATCCTCTGAACTGTTCTCAGATTGATATCCAAACACTCCGAGATGCCTGTACTGGACCTTCCGGCGCCAATTCCAAGCAGTATAGCATGACGTTTCCAAATTCATGGCGGAGTGAATTGCGTCATGTTGATCTTTTTCTCACAGACGATTCCCAATCCATCTTGCTATATTGTGCAGTCGACAAAATTAAATAAAACACGAACTCATAGATATAAAATGGCGACAATTTACCCATCGCATCTCTCTCCTTCTCTGTCTGTCTGTCTCTCTCTCTCTCTCTCTATATATATATATATATATATATTGGTCATATATGCATCGTCTCTCTTCATCTATCTATCTATCTATCGCTGGGCTTTCTTGATGACAGAAATTTATATATTTCCATTCTTACCTCTTGAGTTCGACTGAAATTAAAAAGCGACGGTTTTAATCACTAAATTTCAAGTTATTCAGGTTCATTTGCTCGGCAAATGCAATTCGTAACGCATGATATTTCTGCTCGGAATGATATTAAAACTAAGTACCATCATACGGGTTCATACGTTTTTTTTTTTGTTCGTCACACTTGCCATGATAGGACCGAATGACCAAACGAAAGTATATTTTTTCATTTTTTTCTTAGGTCTTCTTTGTTTGTCTGAAAACGTGACATTTTATTCTCTTTTATAAAAACTGTTTCCCTCATGGAACACGATAGATGGTATTATAATTCTACAAACTGCTACGCCTTTACGCCTTGCACACACACACACACACACATATATATATATATATATGTATATATGTGTGTGTGTGAGTATATATATATATATATATATATATATATATATATATACACATCTCGACATGGATGAGAACATACGCATGTTAGTGTTGAATCATTTGCATCACTTTTTCTCTATCACTTCTCTACTTACAAATATTATACATACATACATACATGCATAAATATATGTATATATATAGTTATATATATATATATATATATATATATATATATATATATATATATATACAATGCACTAATTTAATTATGATATTAATTCCATTTTCCTGAAATAATATTTACAAGAGTAAATTCCTGGAATACTTATTACAAAGACAGCTCCGGTATATCTAATTATTCCCTCTGGCTGGCGCAAACTTAAGTGAGATTTTTTCCAGTTTTCAATTACAATTTAAAAAGAAAGTCGCCATGTTGAATAACCAAGACTGAAACAAGATTAACTTTCAACATACGTGTCTTATTTCCCCTTTCCTAATTGCAGCATATCGATTGTTGATGACGAGCCATTTTTCTTAGGAAATGTCATCACCAGAGAGCAGGACTATGTTCTTTTGCTTTTCATGCCGTGTCTTCATAATTTAATTTTTATACTGTTTCATGCTAGAAGGCATAGTTATTTGGACGAGTATCTTTACCATTGTTATTTTGATTTAAAATGGTCGACTGGCAGACTCTCTCGTTTGTCCTTATTTTAATCTTCATTTTTATTTCGCATTTCTAACAGAAATCTTTATCTATGTCTGAATTTCTGTGATGAAGAGTATATATTATTCAAACTATTTATATTAGGTTTACTGTTATGGAAATTTACCCACGCATGGAGTCCCCCATCTATAAATAGGATCAGGTATTGCCCTTTGGAGGATGATGTTTCCAGCAGTAAGTTCTGACAGTCATACCGAACATTCTAGCTGTAACATTTTCTTTTTGTATATGTTTATATTATTGTTTCTGTTAATATATTTGTTTAACTCAATTCCTCTCTTGTGTCTTCATTTCTGGTCCTACAAGGACACAAAAGTTACTATCCTGATTTTTTTTGTTATAACAATTTTCAAAACAAAAACATTATTTTCTGCTGGATTCCAACCCACATTGTGGAAACGAAAAAGCAGATGCAGCTGCTAAAATATCATTAAACATCAATATTTATTACATAAAAGTACCCCATACAGATTACAAACCCCTAACCAACAACCTTATTATGATCAAATGGCAAGATTCGTGGAACTCCTGTAAAATAACATATTCTACGAAATCCAACCCATCCTCAAAGAACGGACAGAAGCTAAAATTTCCGAAAGGTAAATATCAAGAAGAGAAGAAGTATGTAATGACTAGACTTCAAATAGGCCACACCGCCGTCACCCATTCACGCCTGTTGAAGGGTGAAGAAACCCCAATTTGCATTCCATGCCAGGAGCTCTACAAAATGAAACATTTACTAACAAGCTGCATAGATCTTTAACAAATACGATTGAGATACTATCAAGAAAACAATCTGAAAGACATCTTCAACAAAACTCATCGAAAATGACCTTTTAGAATTTCTAAAAAGCAACAAAATTATATAATAAAATATAGTCGGAAAGGAAGATAGTCTATAATCATCATGCACAACACCTTTACCTATATCTAGAAAACAATAAACTCAAATAAGATCAACAAGCAGTAAACAAAAACCAAAGAAATTCTTCAGCATTAAATAACCCAAAAGGGTTGATATGCTGGTAAAACAAACGACTAAACTACCTTGTTTCATCCATATGAGTTTACCTATGGTAGGAGTCTTGACCGTTTGAAAATCTTGAATCGTACGACTTACCCGTTTTTTTTTTGTTTTTTTTTTTATTTTGTAATTGTCCGTTTCGAGCGTTAATTTGCAGGGTCTGTTCTAATATTTCAAGATGCATCTGATGTATCCTCCAGGGCCTGTGGAAAAGTCTTTGCCTCCAGGTGGGCGTGCCTGGGCTTTTGCAGTTACCTATGTGTTCTCCTGGAACTAACAGTCTTAATTGATACGCTCCGTTGTATGAGCTTTAGGTCGCTACTTTTATGTAGTAATGTCTCGCCAAGCTTGTTTTTCCGATCGCCTTCATTGCTTACCTCATCCAGTCCGTACCGATTCGATAATCTGTCTGGATTTCTGTGATGTGGGGTAATCATTATTTGCACTGTTTATATTTGTAGTATTGTCATCAATTATGTTTTTGTGATAACAGCAACAAAGGTGAAGAAAATAGTCCGAATATAAATAGCGTAAAAACGTTAAATTTGAATAATTCAAATTGAAAATTCTGAAACTGAAAACTGCAATCTATTGAGTTTAACTTAGTGCGTTCCAAAAGAAGATTATTTGAAGAAATAGGAAAAAGAGAAGGTTGTAACATTTTTCAAAGAGGAAATCAACCTTGAGAGAAAAAAAACAATGTTTATTAGACATTACCTTATTTATTATTTCTTTTCTTTGAACGACCGAGAAGATTTTATGAGAGGAATGAACTCGATAACCATTGCTCAACCGACACCTCAAAAGTCGCCAATGTGATTCAGCTATGTTTTGTGTCAATATCGCACAAGATAATGTTCATTTATTCATTTTTTTCTTTCTTGTTCTTCATTTTATTCTTTCATTTTCGTAGTAAATTTATTGTCTTTTACGTTATTTTCTAATTCAATTTATTTTTCTTTCTTTTTCATTATTTCCTTTAACTTTACCTTTTATTCTTAATTTATTCTTCACACTTACATTTTCTTCTATTTTCTTTCTTTTTCTTTCACTTCCCTTTTTTCTTTCTTAATTTGTCCTTCCTTCTTTGAATTTGCAACTTGCCTTTTCTTCTTTTTTCTTTCTTTTCTTTCACTTCCCCTTTTCCTTTCTTAATTTGTCCTTCCTTCTTTTCAAGTTATATTTACTTCCGTTTTTCTTTCGATCTTTCTTTCTTTAATATCTTTGAAATTCTTTCTATATTTTACTTTTAAGTTTTACCTTTCGTTTCTCTCTTCATCTTTGTTTAACTCATCCTTCATTCTTGGCTAGTTCCATATTGTTTTTTTCTTTTCCTTTCTTTAATTCCTCATGCATTCATTCTTTCTTTTCCTTTAACATATATTTTCTTCTTTCCAATTTCCATTTCTTTCTTTACTTTATCTTTTCTTTTTCTTCCTCTGTCTTTATTTATCTTAATCTTCCTTCTTTACGAGTTCCATATCCTGTCTTTCTTTCTCAGCTAATTAGTTTTGGTTATATTTGCAATTGCACAATTGATATACACATAATACCTATAGCCTCTTATTAACTTCAAAAAATATATATGCAAGATTAATAAGCTGGCGCCAAATTTGCAATTCTCGTCCCCGATGAAGATTACTATTTAACGCCCGTCATTTAGCTATGGTTGTCGGTTAAAATAACTGGTTACACCGAGTTTTCTAATTTCAATAGGCAAACAGATCGCGGTTTAAACAAGCGAAAAGGAAAGCACTATCATGGACAGTCATTCTACAAAAATATCATCATTTCCATCTGGTATCTTTTCCATCTGGTATTATTTCCATCTGGTATCATTTGCATCTGGTATAATTTCCATCTGGTATCTTTTCCATCTGGTATCATTTGCATCTGGTATCTTTTCCATCTGGTATCATTTGCATCTGGTATCTTTTCCATCTGGTATCTTTTCCATCTGGTATCATTTGCATCTGGTATCTTTTCCATCTGGTATCATTTGCATCTGGTATCTTTTCCATCTGGTATCTTTTCCATCTGGTATCATTTCCATCTGGTATCTTTTCCATCTGGTATCATTTCCATCTGGTATTATTTTAATTTTTTTCTATAGGTTTAAAACTTTGAACATAATGGTTACCAATTTATTTACAGTTTTCTACTTCCTTAATTTAAGATAAAAACTAAATATATTTCAATATATTTCAGTAGAATTTTCACCTTCAACAAATCATAGTTTAGATCAGTCAGTCAGTTATGAGCCATGCGTATCTTTGGATACATGACTGACGAGGAAGGTATTGTCCCGCAGTAGTTTACCATTTCTTTCTGTGGTAGACCATTTCCCATCCACGGCTATAGAAACTGGTCTGTCCTGCTATTTACCCATAGGTGGGGGAAAGAAGAGGATTCATAGCTTTCCCAAAGGTCAGTCAGTCAGTTATAAGCCGTGCCTACCTTTGGATACATGACTGACGGGGTAGATATTTTACCGCAGTAGGTTGTCATTTCTTTCTGTGTTAGACTAGTTGCCATCCACGGCTACAGAACCCGGTCTGTCCTGCTATTTACTCATAGGGGTGGAGAAGAAGAGGATTCATAGCTTTCCCAAGGGTCAGTCAGTCAGTCAGTCAGTCAGTTATGTGCCATGCGTGATAGACGATTAGGCGATCATGTATCTTTTGATACATGACTGACAAGGCAGATTTTTTCCCCCCAGTAGGATGCCATTTCTTTTTGCTATAGATCAGTTGCCATCCAAGACTACAGAACCCGGTCTGTCCTGCTATTTACCCATAGGTGTGTGTGTGGGGGGGAATATGATTCATACTTTTCCCAAGGGTCACTCAGTTATATGCCATGAGTGATACACGCTTAGGCGATGATGCATCATTCGGCAGATTTTTTCCCGCGGTAGGTTGCCATTTCTTTCAGCGGTAGAACAGTTTTTATCTAAGGCTATAGAGCTCGGTCTCTCTTGCTATGAATCTTCTTCTTCTCCTCCTGTAGAAGAATAGGATCCATACCTTTCCCAAGAGTATTAGCCCGTAGGTGAACGTAATGGATTCGACTGGAATCCGAACTCGGCTCCCCGATTCCTCAATCCGAGACGTTATCCATTATGCCATAATTTCTTCGAGAGTTTAGATACAGGGAACAAATAAGGCATCCGTTTCCAATGGTTTCTATTTTTTCTTCTCTGGGGCGCATCTTCGGAATGAAAATTTCTTCGCTCCTTACCAAATTTTAAATGATAAATGTATATTTAAAAAATGAAAAAAAAAAACAGAGAGAATTGAAAAATGGGGATAACCGCTGATTCGAAGTCAGAACATTATCATTGATAACTCTCTCCTCCAGTTTGCGGACTCTAGTTACTTTATTCTTAATACTTGATACAATGCGAAAATATAACAATGATAAAATCAGTCTAAAATTATTTTTAACTGTTTATACGGACACTCATGCATGCAGTTACATTTAATCCATAATAATATTTTTAAATTTGAAATCATATTTATTTTTGGTATATGATTTTCTTAAAACTGTTTCTAAATCTGTGATTGTTTTTCAACCATTCCGCCTCACCTTCTATCCTCTTCTATTGAACATATGAACCATTAGGGAACCACAGGAACGATACGAGGATAGTACTTGTGTTACAGTTTTTTGGATACGTGTGTGTACTACTGGACCAACCAAAATGAGCTGACTCATTTTATAGTCCACCAAGAGAAGGGTTAACCAATCAGAAAGCTCAAAATATTCAATGCAACGTGTATAAAGGCAGCCATTTTGTTTTTTCTCCCAAAATATCTCCACTGCCAACCTGATATCGAAGACGCAAAGAATTAAAAGCCGCTACTTTCTCCGAATCTACATTATCAACCTCTGATATTGAAGAGATTACAGACTTCACTGGATTCCATATTCAGAGACTACGGCAAACATGGTCAACAACTTGATGAAAAAGGAATACATTATCGCCTTCCTCTTGATGTGATATGTCATTAAAATGTTTCTTTTCTGCTAAGAAGAACAGCAAAAAAATCCTGCTATTTCGAACGACCAGCTTTCTGCCGGACTCAGTTAATGCAGTGAATGTAAAAAGACAGAAAGGAAAATTAAAGAAAAGAGTAAAGGAAGAATGAGCGATAAAGAGAGGGAGGTAATGACAAGTCGCTATCGAAACATTGTCGCAAAACGCGAATTTAAAACGTACCATCAACTGGCCGTTAGCCAGTAAAATATTACGAATGAGCACAAGGTCTGAAAGACGCTGTAACAGTAGCGCTTGGAAGAATGATTTATTCTCCCATTTACGTTTCTCTCGATATGGCCATTATTATCGCCATAATATAATAACACCGTAGTTCACGGACAAGATGGCGCGGAATAGCTGGAAGAAAAATAACAAATACGCTTTGTTCTCAGAGAGATTTTAATATTGCTAAGACATACACAAAACTGATGCATATATATATATACATGTCCAAGCGGAGAATGATATATCACATATCAGAGTAAAGAAGAGTGCAAGGTGAAAACAAAAGGAAGGTTCTTACTTATATGTAGTATCTATTTTTAGGACTCCTAGATTCAAATGGGCCGAATTAATCTATGACCCAGGCGAGGACATATTCCATAAATGGAAAACAGTAAGTCTTGGGTTTTCCCAAATTGAGGACTGTGAGCTGGAGTCTCATTCTATATCTGGGAAAGGTATATTCCCAAAGCGAAACGGCACTGTGTACTTGTAAACTACAGGCGGAGGTAAACTTACCATTTGGTTGCTGTTCACGAACTGAAAAAATGGCCAAGTTTATTGTCTCTGTATGGAGTGATAACATTAAGCGGCCATCATGCGAGCCATGTGACTTCACTCCAACAAAGAGTGATAAACGTCTTTTTTTAATTCTTACAACGCGTTTGTAGCCTCAACTCACACAGCAAATCATAACAAACTATAATCATAGGTCATCGTTCTAGAGGATAGTAAAGCAAGTAGAAAATGTCAATATTTTAATGTCTGACTTTGTTAGTCTAGATTTAGGCAGATTTTCACAAATGGTAACAGGGGAAGCAAAGAGAAAAACAGAGAGAATTGTGGGAGGTAAAAATTAAAAGAAAACTCTCCGATACGGCTGGGGTAATAGAAAACCGTCGAACTCTTCAAAATGTGATTTCCTTAACTTCACTATCATATTATTTAGACCTCTGAGTAATCAAATTCGCTTTCTTTCAAATTTCACCCCATGTCAGCTATATTCTTTATTCCATAATAAAATAATGATTCCGATTTTCGATTCCAGGAATTATTCTTTGAATTTCTCACTATCTTAAAATCGTTATTGCAACTGGCGGTTTTATCATTTGATGGTAAGATATCAGGATAAGACCTTGTTTGTAGAAAACCTCCATGTCTGTTTGTTGCGTTGCATTGGTAACCTTAGTACCAGTCACATAATGCTGTAAAGTCACATATGCACTTCTTGGTTCTTCGCATGTGTTATAAGATAATTGTTGACTATATTTGTGCACGATTGCTATCTTTTGTGACGAACACGCGTCAGTGGCAAAAGAGACCCCAAATCTTGTACGGATGTGTGTCAAAACCAGTTACTATCGGTTTTTTTACGTTAGCGGCAGATTATTTTTGGCATGTTCAGAAAAGGGCTTCTCTGCAATTTTTCTAGATAAGGCTTTCAGTCAGCAATCTTCTGTCAATAAAAGCGACGGGAAAACCAACAATCAGGAGTGGGCAGTTGACGAGACTCAGTTTATTGTGAAATCGTTGTGAATCTTTTTTTCTGTTCCTCGAGTGGTGGGTTGTTTGCTGTGTTGTGATTTTTTTTTGAGGCAGTGTTGTTTCGTTTCCTCTCATCTCTTTCCCTTCAATGTCTGTTAACTCGGAGTTCTTTGGAGCGCAGTCGGTTAGGTGTTTCCCCCAACCTCAATAAAAGCTTGATGTGTTTTTCATTTTAATAGAATATCATTTGAATGCAGCAAAGCACAGATAAAAAATCCCTCCTACCAAAAAAATACTATTCATGACGGTATGCTGAAAACTCGCCACAATTTCTTTTTTTTATGGAGATTCTGATAATAAAACCATTTTTTATGTTTCTTTTACTTATCTTTTGTTACTTATCTTTTGTTAGATGAAGTGTTTATTTTTCTTTATATAATTTAAATGAATTAATAATCTTTGTTTTTTATAGTTTCTGTTTGTTTTGATTTCCTAGTTATTTCTTTTCACCCACTCTCCATTTTGACTCTCTCAGCAATCGAGCAAATGGCAAAAACGAAGAGTAGGGTTAAAACAGAGTAAAAAGGTTTTTACTGGCAACGGACAAAACGACAAAAAACTAGCTAGAGAGGGCAGGCCTTGACTTTTAAAAAGCTTCCCTGAGAGATCTTATTCCAGTCCACAGGGTAACATCTCCATTAAAAAGCTAAAGTCTCTAGCAGGTTGACTGTTGTTTGCGAGCGCAGGCCCTGAGCTTAACGACACTTATAATTAACATCAGTAAGGGATAGTTGAAAGTTCTAGGGCGCATAATGAGAAAAGGGGGCTCGGAAAATTAGATACTTAAAAGATATGCTGAAAGCAAGTGGGGCAAAGAAAAAAAGGCGCATAAAGTGCCCAATGAGTTTGTGTACATGAATAGTAGAACAGGGTTTAGGAGAGATAGCTAAATGACAAAATTTGTTAAGAGATACATTGGACAGGATATTGGGGAGAGAACTATGATCACCCGCGCCTTGAAGACATGGCATAGAAGAAGAAGAAGAAGAAGAAGAAGAAGAAGAAGAAGAAGAAGAAGAAGAAGAAGGAGGAGGGGAAGAGGAGGAGGAGAACAAGGACTGGAAGAATAGCCTCTGTTCTTAAATTCTCTGCTAACTTTTTCATCCCATTGTTATATTTATTGTTCCGCTCACCGCTTGGCAATCTCAGCAATCGTTCAAATCGCAAAACTCCTTATGGGGGGTTGAAATTGAGTAAAAAAAAAATAAATTGAGAGAATAAACTTGCCTTTTCCAGCGCGCAGCGGAATGATCTTATCCAGGTGTAACATATCTACGCCCTAAAAAGGTTAACTTCTAGTCAAATCTCGTAGCCAATCAATCTTTTATCTACTTAATCTGTATCTTTCATCTATTTTAAATGACACCGAAGACAAAGCTTACCGCATAAGGTGAATCCAGTCCATTATAGTGTCACCACAGATCAACTCTTTCTTTTAGATCAAGGTTCCAGATCAGCATTAAATCCGTGTATATCCTGCCGTGAATAACTTAATATGCAATAGAATTATATAAAACAATATCCAAGTTGTTATTATAATACATCATGTGATTCATACTGGAATATTTAAAATATCATGACGTAAAACGTTCCAGTTTATAATCAGCCATATTAAAACGAGTCAATCTGAAGTGAAGGGACAAACAACTGGACTAAAAAATATCAACGAAAAGACATACAATGAAAACGTTAGGTTTTTCTTTAATAACGCATTTCAAATGTAATATTTGTTGCTCTAAATCTGTATTTATTTTGCAATAACATCAAGCAGCATAGTGTTTACATGAATTAGATACGGAATTTTTTAAGATGTGATAGCTTCAAAAACAGTCGATATTGCAACATAGAGCTCAATCTGAGATGAAAATCGTTTACCGCCTACGTAAAGGCAAATGAGGATGACGCTACGAAGATTTTTCAATCGAGTTCAGATATGCAAAACATGCAACCCATTCCACAATCGTTCAGACAATTTTTTTTTCACTATTAATTTAGCACAGAAGTCATCGGTTGCAAGACTTGGAAGATTTTTCGTGGCCAAGCGCTGTAACGCAGCACAAGATCAAAGAGTGGTTACACTCTACAGAGTGGGAAGCAGATTACGATCACTCTCAGGGAAAGAATTTTCTTTACAAAGAATTATCGAATGTGCAAACAAATAGATATAATATACACTGTTTCATAGATAAAAATGGTACGCCTATTTTTGATACGAAGTATCTTCTGTAATATCATTTGGAGTAATATATATATATATATATATATATATATATATATATAAAGACACGAGGAAAATCTATTCTTAGCCTACGCGTTTCATCGTCTGAGGATTTCTTTTGTTGCATTTATTGTGCTTCAACCACCAGAAGAATATATTTGAAAGTTCTCAAATTTAAAAGCCTTGATGAAACAATGTCATCGTTGCTCCTGTGTATACACAAACACAGGTGCGTAGTATATATAAGTTTAATAATAATGCATGTATATATATATATATATATATATATATATATATGTGTATATATATGTGTGTGTGTGAATATATATATATATATATATATATATATATATATATATATATATATATATATATATATATATATATATATATATATTTACGAGAAGGTTAAGAAATATATATATATATATGTATATATATATATATATATGGTGGACTCTCCTGTCGTATTCGACGTATGAGGGTCTAGTGGTTCAGTTCCTAGGAACCGACAGCCAGACACCAGCACATATGATTTGATTATAGTAGTGAAGGTATTGTGCAGTACCAACTACACTTTTTGAAGACATGGATACAGAGATCTGTTGCATCGTGTTCCACAAAGGTCCCCAAACCGACTCTCCTCAGGTTTTGTATTCAGAGTTATCCTCTAGACCAGTTGCCATCCAAGCCCAGATTGCCCCTATTTAGCCATTTATATATATATATATATATATATATATATATATATATATATATATTGGTGCGTTAGGAATTCGTGTCAGGATATGGAAGTAATGTAAAATATTCCCATGAGAAAATTCAAATATGTTTATATAACATTGATTTACAGAAAATAAAAAAAAGACATAGATAGAAACTGTCAAGCAGCTGGTTAACTAACGCAGTAGAAAAGGGATATAATTTCCATTTTTTTCTGCATGCTACTCTTTTTGAAAGAAAGTAAATTCAGTATTTTTCCATAGCAGATACATTGACAAACAGCTGATATCGTATCTCAGTGTTCATTCTTTGCTGAAAATTGTTTGTCGTCCAAAAGTGATCATGGTTTTTCAATCTAGTTTAGATTTGAACAACACAGAGATCATTAAATAAGTCGGCAATCTCTTCCTCAATCATGCTAGAAGGTTTGTATGTTTTTGCAACATGAAGTAAAGAACGACATTTAGACAAAACCCAAGTAGAATACACTATTATTCAAACGGAGGGTGTATTTATACGCGGCAATACACTTATTCCTGATGCATTTTCAATCGTTGAATACTTATATGAATGAATTTTCAAATATATTGTTTACATAAATCTATGAAATCCTGAACTACTAGCAGAATTTATTAGTTACGGATACGATCTTAATCTTTTCAGCTGAAACATTATTGAAGGCAGTAAAGGCATTCGTAATATTATCCGTTTTATACTAGTAAACATTTAGTATTCATTGAAAGAAAAGCCAATACAGCTTTTAGATGAAATTTATAAAATCCTTTTCTTAAAAAAAAATTCCAAAACATTTTTTCTAGGTTCATTCTTTTGCAGTATTGATGGCGATTTCCTCCTTAATCTTTTTTGAAGTTGTGCGAAATATCAATATTTTGATAATGCCACTATTTGCTTTCTAGTTAAATATGAAATCCATTTTATTTATTGATGTTGAAAATTCTCAAGAGATTTGATTTCTGCCATTTTATACAGTTCCTTCATTGTGATTCTGCAGCTCAGTTTCACAAGGTTCGAAGAAGTAAGATTTTCCGCCACATTCCACAGGACTCAATTGCTCAAGGCCATTTTAACCATTGGGCTTGGAAACTATTTGTATACAGTTGAGATTATGTCCTTATTTGATCTTCCAATTACATGTGCTAATCTTTTTGTTTCGGTTGTTGGTAGCCCTCAAGTATTATAGTTTCTCTAACTTTGCATATTTCTTTAGGATTCCGTATTGATTGTCAACAATATTCAAAGAATGTTCTTTGCCAAGATATTTAGGAATCACTCGCATGAAGCGTTTCTTAACTATAGATGTTAGAAAGGTGTTTTACACAGCTGACGGTTTAGATATTTCTGAACGGGTTTGGCGTCGTGAGAAAAGTGAGAAGAAAGGAGTAACCATTAACTGTATAAATAGTTTTCATAAAAAGTAACAACTTCAGATAAGAATAAGCATTTGGAGATACCAAAATCAAACCATTAGAAAATTCTAAATATCTGAGTGTTTTAACAGAGGAGAGAGATTCTTACATCGAAATCAGAAGGCTCATTAGGATAGTGAACGATGCCTTCCAATAGCTAAGCCAAATATTAAGTGTTGTGGATTCCGATTATGAAATTCGGTCTCCAACGAAGGACAAACGCAATAATTAAATATAAGAAATAAAATGTATTTACACAATAATACAAATGGTAATACTGTTAGTAAATCCAGGAACGCGGTTAGTAGCAAATACAAATAGATATATACAGTCTCAAAATAGGACTTCCTTAGAGTCTACGTGCTTGTAACTGACTTCTACAAGAGGTTACCTCACACTATTACTCTGTCTCAGTCCTCTTAATATCCGACTACTCTGACTGAGTATTTAACGGCAGCAGTTCAAGTAACACTTTGGTCGAGTCCACTTATATGAAAAAGGGGAGGACCACATAACATTAAGTAACAGCAAAATCTCGTTAGAAAAAAAGAAAAGCTAACTCAAATTTTACGTATTTTCAGTCCGCCTATATTGTAGCAAATGCTGGATACTCGCCTCTGAAATCCAAAATACAAAGGAAATGAGAGCGATTCGCTACAATGGGCGTGACCGGGTGGGTCTTTGCCGTGTGGTTTAGAACTTTCTTTGGAAATAGCAATAGAACAGTGAGAGGCGTCCGATGTTTTATATGTGGGAATGGGGTTCTAGGTTGGAAAATCCTTCATCAATCATAAAGACGGGAAGAAGAATTTGGACTCTATAAAAACTGTATAATTGAGGACTGGACATCTCCTACCCATAATTTTTTAAGCATTTCACCCCAAACAAGATGGGAGTGCCACTAC